TTTTATAAAACCTCCAGAAGATTCTGATGCACACTCAAATCTGAGAACCACTGCTTCAGCCAGTGGTCATGACTAATGGCTGCACATTACAATCACCTGAAGCATGTTAAAACTGGCAATGCTTGGGCACCACTGCCAGAAATTCTAAATAAAATAGAATACCCCATAGCATTAGAAGAAAAAAATACTTCCCCCTGGTGATGCCACTGAGCAGCCAAGCTTGTGAATCACTGGGCTGGATCTTCTGGGTATGCAGAGGAGAGGGGTATTGGCCTTCCTCCAGCCGGTGCTGTGTACTTACGATGCAGCTACATAGGCCTGGAGTGGCCACCTGGGTCTGGGGCCACTCCTGGTAAAGTGAGAATGGCATTCTCCCTGAGGCACGCTGGTAAAAGGCAGTCTTCCAAGGTGTGGGCTGTGGCCGAGATCTGATCAACAGCACTGAAGAAACATTATTAAGTGCCCTGTGGTTAATCGAGAGGCTTTAATATAAAATGTTAGATGTATCCCCCACTCTCAAATCCCACTGCCCCCTAATGGTAGGTAGCCCATGATGGTTCTGCCACCTAGGAATTTGACAGCAGTATTTTTAAACTAGTGTCAGGTGAATTGTATACACTCAGTGTATTAGCTTCTTACAGTTGCTGTAACAAAGTACCACAATCTGTATGGCTTTAAATAACAGAAATTTATTCTCTTATGGTCCTGGAGGCTAGAAGTTCAAGATCAAGGTGTTGGCAGGACCATCATCTTCCCTCTGAAGCTGTAGGGGAGGATGTGTTCTCTGCCTCTCTCCTAGTTCCCATCAACGCTTGACATAACTTGGCTTCTAAATGTATCACTCCCATCTCTGCCTCCATCTTCACATGGTTTTCTCCCCTTTGTGTCTCTGTATCTTCATGTGGATTTCTTATAAGGACACCAGCATTAAATTTAGGGCCCATCCAAATACAATGTGACCTCATCTTAACTTGATTATATCTGCAAAGACCCTATTTCCAAATAAAGTCATTCACAGCTCTCACTGGTGAGGACTTCAGTGTATATTTCTAGAAAACACTTCAACCCACAACACTCAATAAATTCTCGTTAATGGTAACAATAATAACTGTGGTTTATATATCTATCATGTTGGATATTCACAGCAACTCCAATATGATTTATATATTATAAACCTTTTGGAGAAGTGGGCATTATGAAATTCAGAGCCATTGCATGATGGTCTAGTAATGAACCATCACCTGCAAACTTCAGGAGGATTCCTTCAGGCAGCATGATCCTAATATCTGAAAAACAAGTGCATGGTCACCATACACAATATTCGTGAGTGTCTGGATGCCTGCCATGATCCCACTGAGACTTTGTCTCACACAAGATGATGGGGAAAAGTGCTGTAGCAATACCCAGACACACAGCAGTACTACCCTGTGGGCTTCTCCACGATAAGTAATTAGCAAGGGGTATCGGTCCTGTGCCCAGACTTTGGCCTGGAAAACTTCACAATTGGGTGGGCTCTAGAACCAAAGCTATGTATTGTGCCTATATAATTTCACTGAGGCAAGACAACTGGTTGGGTGGCATGCATCGCCCCTGGGGAATAAGGCCGAGTCTCATCTCTGCCATGTCCCCAGCAGGATTCTGGGCACAGAGTGGGTGCTACATGGGTGCTTGTTGCAGGCTGGCTGATGTTAGGGGACTGAAGTGCTCACACCTGCTGGTAGGTATGGGTGTGGGTCAGCAGGTGACCCTGAGGATGGCTGGGTTAGGATTAATCTTCTCTTCTCTTAGTCTACATTACACACACGCGCATGCACGCGATCTTAAATTTGTCTTAAATCTGATTTAAGATATGATTATCTGAAACAGTAGTTTTCAAACATTTGAAGAATTTCTTGGCATTAGAGGCATTTGATGCAAAGCTCTATGTGGAAGGTCAACGTATGAAGTCTTGCAGGGATATCAGAGCCCCGATGATGGTGACGTGCCTCTTCTCCCTCCCTCAGCAGCAACAGCGACCCTGCAGCAGCTATGGGGAAAGGAAACCTGGTTTCCACAGAACTCAGACCTGTGCCCTCAGCATCCCTGGGGGAAGCATGTCATTTGATACTTTGCAGAAACCGATGCCAGGGACAGTGCTCTCTCCTCAAGTCCAGTGTCAGCCCTTCTGTGCCCACAGGGATTACAGATCCTTCCCGTGAGCCCCATCCATTCAGCACTGCCCTGAGAATTTTTCCCTCCTGTCCTCTACCACCCAACAGAACAGGTCACTCCTTCTCTATGCCCCTTTGTCATACCTGCATTGGAGAGCTGGGACTCTTCAAGCACGTTGCAGTCACATGGATGCCTTGACCTTGGCTTCTGGTCTAGACTCCCTTTTCTGGTTAGCAGAGACCCTGCCTGTCACAGCATCATCCCACTTCCTTTTCTTCTGTCCCCCTCCACAGGGCTGGTCACCATCCTGTAAATTAATAGATTTCCTTTCACATAATTGAAGGCAAGTTAAATAATCACCATAAGTACCTCTGAGCAGCAGAAGGCAATGTGGACAATAGGATGTCTGGAAAGATGGAAGGAATACTTAGCGTTCCCAGGAAAGAAAACTCCCGGCCCTGTGCTCCCCTGACTTTGCGTTTCCTTTTGTCCTGCCTCAGAGGTCACATCCTCCTGCTCTTGGGCTGAGTGGGAGAGCCACTCATGACAAGCTGTCACCTGCCTGTTCAGGGGGGCTCTTCGTGAAAGCTCGGCTGCCTGCTGGGATGGAGGGAGCGGCGGTGACAGGCCGAGCTCTGCACTCAGTGAGGCCCAACAGCACAAGGTGGCAGGAGGGCTCGAGGCTGCTCGCCACGGACCTGGCACTGCCACTTTACATGCAAGAGGGAGCAGCTCCACAGCTGTCACTGACAGCCCCTGGGGTCTGCTCCAGACTTGGCAGGGAGGACACTTCCAGACTCCCAAATCGCCTCTTTGAAATTCAGGAGAACCACACTTTCGCCACCCCTCCGTCTGTGACACCAACACACACAAAAGATAAGCAAGCCCAGCTCTCTCTCACTCACAGACCCACACTGCCAAGTCTGTCTGTCTCTCACTCTCTCACACACATGCTGATAAATTCACACTCACACGGAATCTCTCTCTCTCTCTTTGTCACACACACACACACACACACACACACACACACGCACACGCGCACAGAGTTAAACTCCTGCTCTCTCCTACCTCACTTAACCCAGGTATTTTGAGAAAGCAAAACCCCGTTCCTTCCAGGCCCCGGCTAGGAAACCAGATAAAAATACCCTTTGCATTTGCTCCTCCTCTCTCTCTTGCTCCCATTAACCATTTACACAGTTTGAAGATGTTTTTGCTGAAGCCCGCCGTGTGTCTTTGATGACGTGAGCCGCTGGCGAGGACGGTCATTGCAAACACAGCCTCCTCTGGCGCAGGCGAGCGGACGGCGAGGGAGCCTCGGGCTCTGTGCTGCCACCCGGCTGCCTGCCCCGGTGCCACGTGCACGCAGTGAGACGGGCTCCAGGCATCGAACACGTGCCTCGGCGGTCCAGCCCTGGTGTTTGGCATGAGGAATCTTGAAGGGAGGCATATCTGTTCTGGCGAATGACAAGCTTGGAGGGCAGCGCAGCCCGGCTTTCTGCTCTGCACAGCTTCCTTACTCCCCCGTGGGAGTTCCATGTGTCCCATCATGGACCGCTCCGAGTCCCCGCCTCTCTCTGACCCTGCCTCGGCACATGCTACCCCTGTCTGGACTTTCCTCCTCCCATCACCTCGCCTGGTTAACTTGTGCTTGTTCTAGGGCCAAGCACGTCAAAATAATAGTTAACATGCAAAGCACTTACTCTCTACGCCAGGCCCTGTCCCTAGCACTGGATAGACATTAACCCACTTAACCCTCACAATGAGCTATTTAGGTGCCAATGAGAAATTGAGGCACAGAGAGGTGAGGTTACTCACCCCAGTCACACAGAGAGAAAGGGGCAGTCCTGGTACCCACACCCAGCACTGGCGCCAGGAGCTCTGGACCAGCCCAGGAAACTGCCTCTCTGACTGCTCCTGGACACCTTTCCCGACCCCTCCCTGTGCCAGGGCGTCTCTTCCGGTTCTCAGAACACCCCGTAGTCACCCTCATTCTCACCCTCCTCACTTTCCAATTGTTTCAGTGATACATTTTAAGTTTTGTTCTCTTGTCTGCCTCCCCGCTATCCTGTGCAGCTTGAGGGCAGGGACACCAGCTAGTTCATCTCTGGACACCAGCTCTTCACATAGGGCCTGGCACAAAGTAGTGCTCATTGCTTATGTGTTGACAGGATGAGTAAATGAATGGGTGGAGAACGATCCCTTAGGTAAACACAGCTGGCCAAGGTCTGGCAGACAAGCTGAGGCCAAGCAGTCAGAAACTTCCAGGGTGGGGTTGGAGGGCAGGAAGAAGAACCAAACTTAAGGGCAGCCCTTTAGAAAAGTGTTCTCGAGCCTCTAGGATCCCAACCTCCACTGAAGGGTACGCAGGACAACAGCATGTACAGAGGCTGCCACCCTAAGCCCATTCAACTCCGATGTGGCCCAGAGCTGTCTGTAGGCTGCAGAGTTGGGGAAACCTTTCCCCCAGAGCTGGAGCACAGTGAAAGTGGGACAGAGGGGTGGCACACTCAGCTCGTGGTGGAAGGTCCTGCGGGAGGCATGCCTCAAGTCTTTTCTGGTGTTAGACTCAGTGTGTGGGAATCAGGGCGGGGGAAGTCTCAGTACCAGCTGTCCGCTCATCGGTGGTGTTCCCCATGCAGTGTGAGACCAGCACGGACCACGCTGGTGTCCTTGAGTTCCTCTAAGTAGGTGCAGCAACATAGCCACCCACAGGGCAAGGACCATCCTGGCTGTCCTAATTCATGAGACATGGGAGTAGGGGAGTGGAAGGATGTGCATGGTGAGTTTATTTTCACCTGCCTTCAACTAGAAACCAGAGGTTGGGCTGACCAAGTTGCTCCTTCTTCCAGGGAGGGAAGATCCCCGTGAGATGGACGGCTCCAGAGGCCATTGCCTACCGCAAGTTCACTTCAGCCAGCGACGTTTGGAGCTATGGGATTGTCATGTGGGAAGTCATGTCATTTGGAGAGAGACCCTACTGGGATATGTCCAACCAAGATGTAGCTCCAGAGGCCATTGCCTACCGCAAGTTCACTTCAGCCAGCGACGTTTGGAGCTATGGGATCGTCATGTGGGAAGTCATGTCATTTGGAGAGAGACCCTACTGGGATATGTCCAACCAAGATGTAAGTGTCAGCAGCACCTCCTTGCCGCCACCCCCCGGCAAAGCATGCCAAGCCCTCCTGTTTTCAGCTCAGGGTGTCATAATCTGAACTTGAGGTGTTTGGGGCAGCAGATACCCTTTGCATAGATGATTGAACTAATCAAAGAGCTCAGCATAGAGATGCGACAGTCCTAGTGACCCCAAATCCTGTAGAGGTGTCCAGGCCACAGACTTCAACCCAGTAGACAAGAGACTGGTTCTGAACAGACATAAACCGTGAATAGATCAGGCCCAAAATGAAGCAGGAAACTCAACCCTGCTTCCAAGAGCCCAGGCCCTGTGCTCTCCTTTGCCATGTGTGGCCAAAGGGAAGGAGCGCTGCTCCGAGGGCCAGGACCTGGGCTCCCATCCTGCTCTCCTCTGACAGCTGTGCTCTAGCCAGCCAGTTGTGGTCTGTCTGGGACTCGCACTCCTTGGCTTTAAAGAGAGGAATTGTAAAGGGCCCTTCCTCCCTGAGAATCCACTCTTCTGTGAGCCGTGCCAGCCATCAGTGAGGGAGTAGCTGAGAAAGATTCCCAAAGCTGGTCAGCTTCAGATGGGCCCCAGATGTGGGGCCCTGTTGGTGGGGAGGTCATCAACACTCCTCCAAGCTGCTCTCAAGGGACAAGGGTGGGAAAGGAAAGACAAGGGTCATCTGTGATGCTTTAAGTAGAGGCATTTGGGGTGTTTCCCATTTGGAATTGGGAAACTTTGTTCCATAATTACTAAAGGGTGTGGAAGCCTTTTTAGGATGATTTGCTTTGATAAGGCTCCAATCGAAAGTCCTGGCTGGATTTCAGCACTGCCTTAGACCCTGGGCTCTTCCCCAGGGACCACCGCTCTTTTGTGTTTTGAATACATAGACTCCCCTTGCAGCTGAAAGGATGACAATTTTCAAAGCCTAAAGTGTTCTCTACTTGCTTTTCCCATCACTTTGGGGGACAGTTCTTACCTTTACAAAGTTACAGGCTAGGAGGGGCAGGGCTGTGCCCATTCCAAGTCTGGTTCCACCCAGCAACCAGCCAGCCACACTGCAGGCACCTCCAATCTCATGAAATCTGCCTTCAGCAAGCCTCCTCCTCCAGCCAGAGGTTAAGAGCCATGGCAGTTGCTCAGGAGATTGGGAAAGCTGGCCCTTCCCAGTGAGACTGTGGAAGGAGGAGCTGTGGTGCCTCTGTGACAGTTCTCCCTGCTGCCATGGTGGAGTGACTCCAGCTCAGAGTGGGCGAAATGGCCACATCCTTAATCAGGTCCTGATGCCAGCCCTAGGTGGCGTCTAGGCCTTCTATTATTTGTGATTATCTTCGCCTCTGCTCCTGTGGTGTGTCAAATCAGTAAGTGGCAGCGTTGACGCTGAGCCTGCTTTCATGAAATCAGCACCCTGGTTCTGTCTATACCATCTGCTAGATGAGTAGAAATGTTAGCTAGAAAAAGCAGACCCATCTTGTCCTGCCTAGAGACCTTAATCTGATTAAGAAAAATTCAGCACACATAGGATGGACTACAAAATTGTCTAACAGGCAAGATTTGACATTCAAAATAGACTCAGACAATGCATTCATCTATGCTGAAAACAAACAGAATTTCTGATGTTAGACTTCCAGAATTCCCAGATTTGGTACACACAGTATACTAACTGACTAAACATTGTGCTTGCTGGTTCAATTCTCGAGGGGTTTACAGTCGAGTGGCATATATGTAGGGAATATTTGGGTGGGGGAGGTAAGTGAAGGCTTCTCAGATATTTGACATTTGAGCTGGGTCTCAGAGGGAATAAAAACATCTGTAAAGGAGTAGCTTATTCTAATTTTGTTGCTTTTCTCCAAAATACAGCCCCTAAGCATTGTCCCAAGTGCAATTCTGCTTCCTATGGGAGATGCGAGGTGACTTCATGCCCATGCAGGAAGTTTCTTACAACCTGGCTTGGGAGAGAGCCAGGAGGGGCTCCCAGCTGCTCGGCTGCAGCCTTACTCATCAGAAACCACTGAGGTGGTGGCAAAGGATTTTACAGATGACAACTGAAAGGCTTTAAGGGAGAGAATTGCAGAGGCAAGTCGGAGTGCTGGTAATTAGGCTTCCGGAGCCCAGGAAGGTCTTTGAACATGAACAGAGAGTTTGTCAGCCAGAGAGAGCAACGTGGAAGTTCTGCTGCTTGGACTGATTGACAGAGATAATGAGAGTGGCAGTGTCTGTGGAGGGGAGCTGCGGTTTTATTGAAACATCAGAGCTCAGCTTAACCCACTCTGCCCTGGTTCCTCCACTGCTCTGAGCTCCTCCACTTCAATCTCCTTGGTGGAAAGTCGAGTCGGTACCACCACAGCCCAACCATTAATGGGAGATGCATGTCTGAGGCAGCTGGGAGCTCCCGCTGAGGACCCCAATGCAAGGGGAGAGCCTTGCTCATTTCCCAGAGGAGCTCCAGTCACTTCATCTGGTGCCCAAGAGCACCTGGGGTCAGACTATCCGCACCTCATCCCTGTCCAACCCCCACACCTGCCACCTCTGGTACAGGTGAACAAAGGCAGCCCCATCACACCTAGTCCCTGCCCCTCTAGCTAGGCCCCAGGACGTTTACTTAGGCTGGCCTTCAGGATGGCGGAGAGAATTGCTGCAGACCATGCAAGTGAGACAGCAGCCTGCCCAGGGTGACAGCTGCATGCAGTGGTTCTCACCCCCCCACGCTCAGCATCTTCACTCTTACTTGTCTCTGGAAATGCCATCTGATCTCATTTGCATCTCCAATCTTCTCAAGATCCATTTATCTCATCCTGTTATGGACCAAGGAAAGGGGCCCAGAGTCTACTCCAATTCTCAACTCTGTTCAGTAGGACACCCAACCTTCTGCCATCTCTTCCATGTAATTCAAATGCAGTCACTGGTGTTTAGAGCCATTAGATGGCCAGATTGAAGGTGTTTCTCCACACCTCCTCCCTGTTCTCCATACCTGCTAGTGAAGCAGGTGAACAGAAAATGATCTTAAAGTCTCATTAGAGGACCAAAATTATTTTCTTGATATAATGATGTTTTAATTGACTATGAGTTATATGTACTCAGAAAATTTAGAAAACATCCAGATCCTTAAGAAAAGAATACAAACCTCCAAAGGTGGGCTGGTTGGTTAGCTCAGTTGATTAGAGCATGTGCTGATAACACCAAGTTCAAGAGTGCAGATCCCCGTACCAGTCAACAGCAAAAAAAAAAAAAAAAAGTCTCCATAGGTTTGAGTAAATTAATGTTACTCATATACCAATTAATGACCTTGTTATTTCTTGGGGTGGGAGGTAAAGTCTTTTTATTTTCCGTATGTGCCAGGGGCATCAATGCTCCCAGAGTATCAGCTAAAGTAATAACAACAAAATTATGTAGAAGAAATAGCAAATGGAAAAAAGCCCCATTTTATAAACATGAGCATGGGAAGGGTTTCCACAGCTATGCTACATCCTGAAATGTGAGAAATGGGAATATGGCGTTTATTAAGTCCCCACTATGTGCTTTGTGCTCTTCAAACACTATCTTTCTGGACCTCCAAAATGACCAGTAGTAATTCCCCTCTTTGCCGAAAAGACATCCACTGCAATAGACATGGCAGTCATAATACTGTCCTTATGATGAGGATACTTTCTACTACTAATCTGTGTGGTACTCAACATGCATCACCTCACTGTGTCACTTAATCTATTTATCAACCCCATTTGTGCAGTTTTAGGAAGTCAAGTGACTCTCCCAAGATTCTATAGCTAATAAGAAATGGAACTAGGATTTGAATTCAGGATTCCAAGCTCTATGCCCCTAATCACTACTGTCACCAAACACAGCCACGTGGATCTGTGCTCCTGACTAACCTGCCTAGGGACAAGGAACTACTGGTTCTTTGATATCCTCTTAGAAAGAAAGTGAGTACACCAAATAAACAGAGGAAATACAAAAACAAATGCCAGGACAATCTTCAAAAAAATCCAATGAGGTGGCATGCAGAGAAGACCACAAGGGGACCATAGTTAAATTGCTTCCAGTCTAGAGGTCACAGGCAGAAGATTCAACACATGCCTGGGTCCTCCATTCTCTTGATGCCCTGCTAAGAGTGCTTGGGTCAGCTGGTCACACTGTGGAGCTGTGCCCTACAGGAGGGCCCTGACTCTAATGCTCTTCCTGTTCTAGGGCAGGTAGGAGAGTTGTCTTGTCAGTGGGAGTGTATTAGTCCCTTTCCATTGCTTATAACAAAATACATGGAACTGGGTAATTTGTAAGAAAACAATATTTATTGCTTATAGTTTCAGAGGCTGGGAAGTCCAAAGTCCAGGGAACACAGCTGGTGAGAGTCTTCTTTGGTGGTGGCTTTACAGCAATGCAAGGGTCTCACATGGCAGAAAATGGTGGAACAGAGAGAGAGAGACTCTCACATGCTTTCCTTTTAAAGCTCTCAGAACCACACTCCTGACCACCATTATAAATCCATCCACTATGGCATGGTCCTACAATCTAATCACTTCTCAAGGCCCCACCTTTCAATTACCATAATAGGTTTTCCCACCCTCAACAGTTACAGCGTGGATTTAAGCTTCAGTGAGGGTGGGGGGCATCCAATCTACAGCAGGGGGAAATCAGTATTTGGGGATCTAGCTTCAAACAATTTTGGCATAGGTGCCAGCAGTTTAAGGGAACACTAATAACACTAGATACCCTGTACTATAAGACTCTGGGGTCCCCTAGCCCCATGAGGAGTTGACCTTGGACACTAGCCCCTCCTGCTGGCCCCACCTAGCTTGCCCTTGGGCGACCCATAAAGAGTTCCTGGGGTCATTCAATGGCTAATCTCACTTGTCTCCACAATGAGTGGAGGCTCTGTGAAGGGACAGACCCTCAGTCATGTTGCTTGGAAGGAGGTGGGAAAGGGCATGGGTTTATTAGCCAGGCTGCTTGTTCTCTTGGGTTACTCAGTTTAACTCCATACCCCTGTTTCATGCCATGAGAACATCAGCAGCTCCCTTCTCTAGACTGTTGCAGTGGCAGCCCCACAAAGACCTAGGAAAAATGCCTTTCGTGGTATTCAAAACTTAAAATCAAGCACCCTTATGACTTATACCCAGCCCTATCACTTACTAGCTCATGCCCTTGACAAGTTACTTCACTGCTTGTGCCTCCATTTTCTCCTGGGGAAAATAGGGTTGAAATTCCCTCCTAAGAGGACAGCAGGGACCTTGATTAACAATAGTTTGGTGGACATAAACATTTTTCAGTGCAACACATTGTCCAGAAATGAATGTTCCCCATCACTGGTTTTTTATATGGTGATGATGTTGGTATGGTTTGCATGCTTGTTTTCACCATACTGAATGGAAGAAATAATACACCTTGATTATCTCTAATGACTTCAGGTTATCATATTATCTCATGCCCCATCTCATGTCCTATACACCGTGCATAGAAATTGTTAAAAATATAAAATAATTGAAATGATCCATTTTTTGACCAATTTACAAAGTAAAAAAAAAAAAAGAATAATCAGTTGAAATGAATCTGATTTTTTTAAATAAAGACAAAAACACCAGAAAATCCCTGAACTCAAATTATTTCCCATGTTATTTAACTGTTTATTTTAATACCAAATCAATGCATGATTATTATAGAAAATAAAAAATACAAACAAGCAAAAAGAAAACCATAAAGACCATTCATGTTTCTACCTGCCCAGTGGCAACCACCATTAGCTCCATGGTACAGATCTTTCCAAGGTCTTTTCCATGAATGAGTGTAATTGTTGGTTTTTGTTTTGTTTTGATTTTTGTTTTTTACAAAAGCAAGATTATACTACATGCAGTTATTCAGCCTGCTCTTTTGCCTAATATTACAGTGTGAGCATGTTTCCACTTCAATAGATAAATTTTTGCAACATCAGTTTAAGGCCTAGTTCTGTTCCAGCCCTTCCAGTGTATTGTGGGTGTGCCATAATACATTCACATGCTTAACACTTGGGTCATTTACCATTATTTTCTCTAACACAAAAAGCACAGAGAGGCATAATTGATTTAAATGAATTAGAAATTAAGAAATAGAGGACAAAAAATACAAAATCTGAAAAACAAAGCACTTAAAGATTCTCAAATTTTCTACAAAATTATCCCCTGGAGTTTGTGAAAATTACCAAAACCTGATTGGAGAAAGTCATTTTGTTATTGCACTGATCCAATTTGTCTAACCAAACGATCTTCACCGCCACTCGTGAGGCTGCCTCATGAGGACTCAAGCAAACAGAGTATATAGGAGGTCTCTGGAGGGTCTTCAGCATAGGAATGGGTAAACAAGGCCTCCACAGTCTTTGGGGTGTCCTTTATAAATAGTGGGTTCACTGGGTTTCCCATGTGTCATTCTTTCATCCATCCTGGTGCCACCAGTTTTCCATAAGGCAGTATTGGGCCCTAAGTCTTTTTAAAGAGAGGAAACACTCAAGCTGTTCACTGGCTCATTCTTCAAGGAACGTTTACAGAGATCTAATGTGTGTCAGGCCCTGTGGCAGGTGCTGGGAACACAAGATGTGGTCCCTGTTTTCTAGGAGCCCACAGTCTAGGGGTAAAGTCAAGTGCATAGAAAACCCATTGGGGTGGGAAGTGTGCAAGCACAGAACAAGGGCACCTGAGCCAGCCTGGGCCAGGGAGGCTCAGTCCACGGAGGCTAATTTATGAATGACTGGCTGGTGGCTTGTCACCCAATCACATCTGTTCCCTGTGTGTCACTGCAGGTCATCAATGCCATTGAGCAGGACTACCGGCTGCCCCCACCCATGGACTGCCCAGCTGCTCTACACCAGCTCATGCTGGACTGTTGGCAGAAGGACCGTAACAGCCGGCCTCGCTTTGCAGAGATTGTCAACACCCTGGACAAGATGATCCGGAACCCGGCAAGTCTCAAGACTGTGGCAACCATCACCGCCGTGTGAGTCTAGCAAAGCAGGGTGATTCCTAGATGGTGAGGGGCGTAGTCTTTTGTTCTGTTGAGAGCAAAGGTGGGTGGCAGAGCTTATCCATTAATGGAAGAAGTTCCAAGGCCCTTCTCTTCCTTTTTCCTTCCAATCTCTTTAAAATATCTGCTGCCTCCAGCATGGGCTGTAGACAGGTGTTAAGAGACCCATCTGGGTCTCTACCTTCCACTGGCTTTTGATGGACTTGGCATGGGCTCTATAGTAGTTGAGCCACGTCTGATCTGATTGGTACAATGCCTCACTTCTGGACCATTTTGTTTCCAAAGCCACCTTTTTGTTAATCACACCAGTCTTCTAGGAAGGTGGAGCTGCAGACTTGGAACCTTGGCCAATACATGGGCAGGTAAAGACCCTGATTGCTGTAGGACAAAGAAATACAAAGCAATTGGATTTGTTATGGGCAAATACACAGAACAACTGTCATCTAATGTCAGCTATACATTACTCAGCTACATTTGCAGCATTAACTCATTTCTTAATTCATCTTTTCAACCAAAATTTATTAGGTCCTTATGTGGAAAGCACTGTGCCTGGTGCTGACACTATACAGTAAGTAAGACAGACATGGTCCCTGCCCACATGGCATTTAGAAACATTTAGGAATAGCAAACTTTAACCAAATGCAGAGAAATGTCAAATTGAGACCTCAATGGCTGTGTTGACATTGAGAACATATTCCCTGACTAGGGAGGCATTCCTGATGAGTGCTGTTTCAGTTGAAAACCGAGGGCAAGGCTGCATTAACTGGATGAGAAGAGAGATGGGAGTAGAAGAACAAAGCATCCAGGCCAAGGGCACCACATGCACAGAGGCCTGAGGGTGGGAAGGCCCGGGCCAGTGTGTTCGGAGTGCAGTTGGGAAGGAAACTGGCTGGGGCTGAGGCTGGCAAGGTAGGCAAGGGCCTGACCGCTCAGATCCTATAGGCCACCCTGAGAATCCTGGGCTTGATTATCAGAGCAATGAGCACCTACTGAAGGGTTTCACATGTATCAGGATGGAGGCAAGGGCTATTGGCATAATTACATGTGCATTTTTAAAAGAACATCTAGCTACAGTGAGGACCTTATGTGGAGGGGAGTGAACATACATGAAGAAGGACAGGGGTAGGAGAACATTGCAATTAATCATGATAGAGAAGACAGCGTCTTAAATCAGGGTAATCGTTGTGGGAAATGGCTGTGTTTGAGGGAGTTGGGAGGTGAGATCTGGATGAAGATCTTTGGTGAAGGACTGGACATGGGTGTGGAGGGTAAGGGAGATGTCAAGGTGGCACCCCGATTTCCAGTTTGGGTGCCTGGGTGTCTTCTTTGAGAATATTCCAGAGAAGGTCAGTGATGGGTTCCTCTGCTCCATTTTTTTCAAGTAGCTGAGGATGAAAACAGGAAAATAAAAATGTTACCAGTAAGTCTGGGGAGCTTGCAATGAACTCTACCTATTTTTGAAAGGACCATATCTTTGAACGGTGAGGCCCTTAGATTTCAGTTTACCAAGGAATTGGGGGCCTTCCGGTTCCTTCAGACTGAATGCTGTGTCAGCCTTCCTGTCTGGGTTGACTGACCTACGACAGCGCCCGGAGGTACAGGGACCAGCCTGCTGGTCTTAGAAGTCACTTCAATATGGGAATCTGTAGGGAAGGAAGGATCAGCCCAGGGCTCCACCTAATCCTCATCCCGTCAGGGGTGCTGCTGTCTGCTGTCAGCCTGGAGCGTGGCTCCATCCACGAGTCTCTGTGGCCATGGGGTCACCTGCTCCTCTCTGTCTTGCCAGGCCTTCCCAGCCCCTGCTAGACCGCTCCATCCCAGACTTTACGGCCTTCACCACCGTGGACGACTGGCTCAGTGCCATCAAAATGGTCCAGTACAGGGACAGCTTCCTCACCGCCGGCTTCACCTCCCTCCCGCTGGTCACCCAGATGACATCAGAGTAAGTGATGAGAATCCCCCCTGTCCAGCCACAGGTAGGGGTCAGGGCTTCTTCCCTGCTACTGCAGAGGGCCTCATCCCCAGAGCTTCTCTACTGTGCAGAATAAGACCTGGACGAAGAGCATCTTGGAAAGATGGAGGGGGGTGGGGGAGTGCTGGGTGGGGGGATGAGGCACAGATCCATTCTGGGCCCCAAATGAGAGTTCTTCAAAGTTATAGCCATATGTCATTTGCCTAATCACCCAGAGTCTCTCCCCCATTTAAGTTTTTAGACTCAGCCCATCAAAGAGAGCATCCAGATGGAAAGAACAAAGCCAGCCAGCACTTTAAACAGCACAGCAGGAAAGGCGTTGCACTGATTCAGCAACAATCCCCGACATACAGGGGCCTGTCCTCAGACTTAGACAGCACTTGCAAATAAGCACACAGTGCCATCCCCCACAAATTATTTACCAGTCTGCTGCTCCCACAGGAGTTTGGAGGAATACACAAAATAAAATTATTCAAATCAGAAGAGAGCCAGAAAGGGTCTTAAAGATCCACGTAGTCCATCATTTCTTCAAGAATATTCTGAGTAGCACCAGTTGCGGGAAATGTTAATGGTTTCTCCTTGGAAAAAAGATCCCACGGTCAAATAAATTTGGGAAATACTGCACACTTTATCACCCTCTTGGAGATTCACTGCTCATATTAGCATTATAAAGGCCATGAGAAATCCTGAAATAAGAAACCCATTTAAAATTATTAAATACCATGGAACCATATTTTTGAGGGGTGGGGTTTTATGGAACTGTAGTTTGGAAAATATTTATCTAGTTCTACCCCTTCCATTCAGCAGACTCTGAAATTATGTGACACAGGTGGCAAAGCCAGGGCTCAAGCCTGCCTTTCTGCTACCTGTTCTGCACCCTTCTACCCACCCAGCCAGGGCAGCAGTGCTTCTGGTACTTTGCTGCACACTGGAGTCACCTAGGGATCATTAAGAAGTACTAATGCCTGGTTTCCACTCCCAGACCTTCTAATGAATTGATATGTGGTCAGACCTGGACATCGGGATTTTTAAGAGCTCCCCAGGTGGTTCTAATGTGCAGCAAAGTTTGGGAACCACTGGATAAAAGTTAGCAAGGGTCAAATTTTGCCTTCTGTTCTCACAGGAGCTCAGACAATCCTACCCAGGAAATTAACTCCATCCACTCCCCCACCCCCAAAACACACACACCCTAGAGGGGATCACACGGCCTGCCTGAGCTATAACGTGTACTGACAGCACAGGGTGGGAGCTGCTTCCCATAACACACATTTTCCATGGTAGAGGATCAGTCAATCCACCAGGCAGTTGACAAACCCTTATTTATCACCTATTATGTGTCAGGCACAGTGCTAGATACTGGGATTCACTTCTGAGGCAGGCCAGTTGCTGAGTCCCAGGAGAGAGGGGTGGTAATCCACCCCTCGCAGTTGATCCCAAGAGGGACAGCTACTGACACTCTGACTGCTTTGCAGTCAATCCTCCCGGAGTCCAGCTCCACCTCTCTGAAGTTTATTCTTGTCAGAAATGATGGAGCCTCCACTTTCTCCAGGGAGATGGTTTGAATGTGCATCTAACCTTGGATCTACTAAACATCAGAATATATTTTTATAAACCTGAATTCATTTCCTGGTGAAGCCTAAAAGAGACAGTCCTTGCCATTATGAATGATTGCCAAACAGACAGCAAAAAATAAAATAAAATAAAAACGAAGCACACAGCAGTGGAAAACCGACCTCCCCATCTTGCAGAGCTCAGATGGATATCCCTAGATGATCGAGGGCCTGGGCTCAGGGATAGAAGTGGGTGTTCATGAAAACAAGTCTACTCCTGCTTTCCCACTGTAATCTGCCTGCATATGGGGGCCATTGTCATGTGATCCCCCACAATCTGAAGGAATCAAGTGAAGTAAATTCCCTTAGTCTGGGAATAGTCACATGAAAAGGAACAAGGGGATGACTAAAAGGAAGGTTGAACTGAAAATTAACGGATTTAGTTCAAAGTAAAATGTCCACACACTATTGGAGCAATTCAGTTTGTTTCCTGAGAGATAAAAGATGGGAAAAGAAAATGAGCAGCTCAGAAAAATAGATTATGGGACAATTTGTGAATTCAAAACTTAAGCATGCTTCCTAAAAGCATTTGTTAAAAAGACACGGGCAATTTGACAATCTCACCCAGCTGCAGCCCATGGGGGATTGACGACTAGCAAAAAGGGTGTGGGCAGGAGAGCCAAGGAACTGCGGACAGAGAGCCAGCCCCACGTCCACCAGGGTCTGGTGTGCAGTGTACAAAGTGGTCAGCTATGCTGGGGAGGGAGCTTTGGGGGAAACACAGGCAGGATCTCAGAAGAGTTCTGAGAACAGCCCTGCAGAGGGGCAGAGAGCCAGGCAGTCTGCTTACCCACTGTGTGAACTTGAACATGTTGCTTAACTTCTCTGAGCCCTCCTTTCCTTGCCCATAAATGTGCAGATAACAGTAGAGCCCATCTCATTGATTTCTTGTAGGAGGTAAGTGAAATAGCACATGCAAAGCACTTGGTCCATTACCTGCCCATAGGATGCACTCAAGAAATGGTTGCTATTAAATTATTACCATTATTTTTAGCAGTGGTTTGTCAATTTTTATGAAGTGCTTTCCTACCTGTTTAAATGAGATAGCATATATAACACATGGGATGCACTTAAGCAGTGCTGCATATTATTATTAACAAAGAAAGATGCATGGGTCTCCCCAAATGCAGCCCAAAGATGAATTTAATCCGAACCCCTATTCCAGACATATTCCTTGGGTTTCTGCTTGGGCAGATATTTTTAAAGTTATTTTCAGATCACCCTTCTTAAAAATGCATGACATTAAAATTCAAACAGCAGCAGAAAATGGAAACTCAGGGGAAAACATCAGAAGACCAGGCAAGCCCCACATCTTTTCAATCTCAGTGGGTGATCACTAATTTAGGCAGAAAGCTCCACAGAATAACTAATGCTCCATAGAGTGTGCGTTCAGAGTGTTAAAAAAAATAGCTGAGGAAAATTCCAGTCCACTGGAGGGTCTTGAATGCAATGAAGGGGCTGCTCCAGAACCCACAGGTGAGGAACACATGGAAGACGGCGTAGCAATGTCAGGACAGTCTAAGGTGGAGGGGGCCTTGGAGACAAGGGTCATTGCAGGGATAAAATGAGATTGAGCAAGAAAGTATCTAACTGGCACTTTGTCAAAAACTTGGTAAACTTAGGCTATTTGGATTTTAAACACTTTTATTTGCCTACCTGACTATTATCAGGAGCATGCTTTTGGTGATGAGCTTTAATCTGTGAAAAGCTATTCTCACACTAAAGTAACTTCTTTTGTGGCTTTTTCCCTCCTAGAGATCTCCTGAGAATAGGGGTCACCTTGGCAGGCCATCAGAAGAAGATCCTGAACAGCATTCATTCTATGAGGGTCCAGATGAGTCAGTCACCAACAGCAATGGCATGAGAACTCTCGTTTTCTTGGGGAAGGAGAGGAAGGAAAGAAACCAGGGTCAAGAAGGAACCAGACATTGACCAGTGTGGAATGTGCTGGAAAGATTGGCTTCTCGACTGAGGAATGCATTTCCATCCATGAAGAATGAACTGGACCTGTTGCAAATAGGCAACCTTCATTTCTCAGCAGCAGCAACATGTTTAAGGTGCCGTGGGAAACCAAACATATGATAAAAATATAAAAAGGTGATGTTCAACAGAAGTGAAGACAAAACAGTATGCATCGGGAATGAGAGTAAACCCAGCTCCCACCCTCAGTGGGCTGCAGTCATCCGTCACCAGGAAGAAGGGAAGGAGGTGGAGGGAAGAAACAGAAGCAGTGTTCCATTTTCTTCCTCACCAATGACATTCTTTCTTTTCTCCTTTTGTGCTCCTCCCCGAGAACCCCCTCCCAGCACCCATGCCCATTTCCCTTTGCTCATGACTCCTGTAGGGATGTTTCTTCAAACAAAACCCAGCTCCTGAGTCTCCAGATGTTGTTCTGTCAGTTGCCAAAGGACTTTGCTGACCACTGCATGGGGATCCAACCAATTCAATTAATGTCTTCATATTGAAGAAGAGATGTACCTTCAATTGAAAACCTTGTTTTTCTTTTGTTTGCATTTTCTGCAAAAAGGAAAAAGAAATCACAGATTGGAAAAAACAAAAAAAGAAAAACCTGTTTCCGTGTGCAAGAGCACACGTATGTATGTCTGCGTTATAAAGTGATTGTGCTTGTCCGTAACAGATGCAAACAAGAAAGAAGAACTGGGGAGTCTTTGCCCCTGGGAAATCCAACGGGGCTTGCATGTGTTGTTGGTTTGGCTTTGGGGTTGGCCCAGTTGGCCTGTTGATCCAATGGGAAGAGAGGAGAGGGAGAAAAATAATCCGAAAGAGTTTGCAAATCTAGACAGGAAACAGGAGAGTGGTTTGAATTGGATGCAGTGTGGGCCATTCTAGAATGATACTGACTGATTAATAATTCTCGATAACATCTGAAGAAAAGGAGAAAGAAGGTATTTCTGGAGAATGTTCTTCCACGTCCCTGGAATCTGCAATTCAAGAGGTGGCAAGGGAGGATTCTTCTTGCCTTACCCGTGGACTGGCTTAAGCCAAGTGGCATCCGAGGAATGTTTCAAATGTGTCTGTGTTTCTCTTTACATTCCTTGTTGTACCTCTCTTCCACGTCCCTGGAATCTGCAATTCAAGAGGTGGCAAGGGAGAATTCTTCTTGCCTTACCCGTGGACTGGCTTAAGCCGAGTGGCATCCGAGGAATGTTTCAAATGTGTCTGTGTTTCTCTTTACATTCCTTGTTGTACCTCATTGTTCAATTCACTTTTGTAAATTCCACCTAACATTTAAATATTTTTAATTTCTCCTTTTACCTTAATCTTCTTGCTAATTTTATCTGTCTAATTAAAATGAGCAGAAGCATGTCTGGGTTTACGTAGAATGGCGTCAGAGTGTGTGTCCCTGGACCTCAGTGGGTGGTCCCCAAGTTACAGGAGAATCCTTAACAACAGTCCTTTTCCCTCTAATGTGGGGGGAGGGAACCCATCCCTGACCCCATGGCTCCCAAGAAGCAGAATGAATTAGACTCGTTGGCACTGATGTGACCTAAAGGAAAAATTGAATAAATACAAGGCTCCGAGGCCTCACACACGAGGCTTATGAAGTCACTGGCAAATACACACAAATAATCACCAGGAACACACAAGTAGCCCTGATGGTAGTTTACACAGTGCATTTGAGAAGTTCACGTCCAGGCCCATTTTGTAAAAGTCATAAAGACTATGTTAGACTGCTTACTTGTGGTGTGTCTGTGAACACGCAGCGGGGGTTGGTGGCATGCAAGGCAGTAAAGGAGCTATGGTTCCAAGTCACTTATTTAATACATATTTAAGGCAGTATTGACCTTTTCCCTGAGTCCTGGGTAACTCTGACTTGGGGAGGTTCTCGCGTTCTGAAGTCACCAACCAAGATTTGCTATAGCAGGAAGCCCCTTCAAAGAGGCTGCGACCCAGGGACACGTGTTAAAGCACCACCATGTGCTTAAACCCTGAAGGGCAGGAGAAGATGGACACAACTCCTCTCAGCAGGTTCACGCATGGCTGCAAAGGGCTCCAATCCAGCCAGGCGAGTGGAAGAGAAAACTTCTCTTTATTAATTGCTTACCAATTCCATGCACAATTTACTAATTGCCCCAAAGACCTCAATCCGTGAAGTGTCTTATAAGCCTAAGCAATTTGGTATATCTACTCTCAGTTTTTCATAGGAATGAATTTTAATTTGTCACCAAATTCCTCAGGCACAATCTTTAACCTGAAATCCTCACTGCACCTCCACCAACACCACCCAGCTCCTGGCTGTGGAGAAAGCGGGGTCCAGGTGAAGGGCACGTCAAGCCCTTTGGTTTGGTTCCACCATAAGATCCAGAAAGGACAGGGAAAGAGAACCCAAAGTGCACAAGAGGAAAGCATGAAGGGTTAGCAGAGCCCCGGCCAGGCTGCCTGGAAGCATGACTCTCAGTGGGCCCGGCAGGACCATGCTCTGGACACCCCCCCGCCCCCCACCACCATCAGCTACAGAGCATGTGAAGCTTGGAGGGGAATGAGGTGTGTCGCTAGTGACCTCTGTAGCACTGGGCCAGTCCTTCACCTCGCTGAGCCTCAGTTTCTTCATCTGTAAACAGTCATCCCTCAGTATTCATGGGGGCTTGGTTCCAGAAGCCCCCAAGGATACCAGAATTCACAGATGTCTAAATCAATAGATATAAAACCCGACTCAGAAAATGCTCATCACTGAGGTTCTTGAGATGCCCAGGAGGAAGGGAATGAGCTCTCACACTCTTATGCATGAGGTGATGGGAGAGGCTGGGTGGGCTCGGTGGGCTCCTGCACAGAGGTGTCTGTGCCCACTGGCACTTTTGGCTCCAGGGGGTTCTCCTCACACCTTCAAAAGAGCTTCCTGGGGAGAATGCTCACTGGCAGCGAGACCCCATTCCTTTAAATTTCAGTTATATGTGCTGCCTCATCATCTGGCAGAGGATTAAATCCAATTGGGATGCTTTCTTAAAAACACACTTTGCACAGTGGTCAGCGGCTTGTGGCCATGAGTTCTAGGCTAAAGAGAGCCCAGGGTGTGGCTCTGAGAGAGAAGACCACTCTGCCAGCACATCGGCAGCCACCAAGAGTCAGGGGGGTGGGAATGGCACGGGGAGCAGGTGAGATTAATGTTCCTGGGTCAGGGGTTATGGGAATGGAGGTGATTTGTGGGGAAGCCCTGGAGACTGTGACCCACCTCCCGGTGCCCTCTCCCTGCTGCTTCTAACACTTGAAGACAGGAATGACTGGTAGAGGGGCAGAGAGCAGATAAATCTACAGAGCATGTGTTTCTTGCATCACCTGGAGATCACTGAAGCTCATAGCTGTCAAATACGTTCATATACTACTAAAATTATAGGCTTCCACCCACCTCTCACCCCCCATATGTCCCCGCCTCCCCCAGAATTATGTGTAGAGCGAGGTCACTGAGCTCTGGCTGAGGTCACCAGGGATAATTGAAAACAAATGACAACTTGAAGCTTCCTGTGACCGTGCACTTGTGAATTAAACAGAGAAACCAATGAGGACTAAGGACCAGCACTCCAGGAATATGGGGGGACGGTGGGGGTAGGAAGAGTGAAACATAGGACAGGTGGGAGAGCATCCACCAAAAATCAGTTTAAAATGCAAGATTCCAACAGCTACGTGTTGGGCTAAGAAGCTCAGTTGGCCTGGGAATTTCATCATCATTTTAGAAATAATAATGGCTCTGGTAACAGTGGCTGAGGGCATGATTAGATCCCTGTACAGTGAAGTGACAGGGTGTCAGCAGCTGACAGGCACCACCCAGCATTCTCAGAGCACACCCAGTGCTACAGGAGGCCTTCAGATTCATGTTGGGGTGAGCCTTGCGGTTCATATGGAAGTTGCAGGGCCATTTTCAAAAGTAACTAGAGGTTTTGTATTTTCCAAGATATCAAAGGGGCTGGGACAGGCGCGGCGGTAGAGGGGGATCCCTGAGGTCGCAGAAAGGTTGTCGAACTGGGAAGGGGGTGTCCGTATTACACTAGAAGCTCAATTAAGTTGATTGAGGTCAAATGGCAACTGTGTTCACTACCAGCAAGTCTCTTGAGAGCAGCAATTTCCACATGAGAACAGGTGCACAGAAGTCTGGGCACAAACTCTCAGCCCCTCTCAGTGAGTGAAGGCCCTGGTGGGGGTGGGGCAATGTGTTCTGCAGACCTGGAGTAAGAACGGGCAGATGGACAGGCCCCGGGCAGTGGTGGACAGGCCCCCATCACTCACCTGGGAGAGAGAAAGGCCCTCTGCCTTCAGTGGGCTCCCTGTCTCTGGAAGTCATTCCCTGGCACATAGCATGCCATCCAGAACCTTCCGGTGAGTCCCCAACTGAGAGTGGACACGGGGCATGTCCTGCTCACCTTTGTCCAGCACTGAACCCACTGCCTGACATGTGCAAGGCGCTCAATACATGTCTGGTGATGAAAGTAAGTTTGAACTGAGAAAGTTTAACATGTCATTTTTTTCACCTACAAAAGTCCATGACCTTCAACAGCATGCTAAAATAATCCCTAAGTATTGGAATCTTTCTCAATTACTCTTAACTGCTTTCAATCGTAGCCTGTTCTAATTTTAGTTTTGTGAAGTTTAAAGCACTCCTTTTGAACCCTGTCTGAATCTGTAGCCTGATGTCACAGTCTTCCCCAGAGCTCCAGCTGGAGTAAAGCAGCCTCCCACCAGGTGTCAGTCACTGTGCCATGGCCCTCAGATGCAGAAATGGATCTGACATTGTCCCTGGTACAACAGAGGCAAGTCAGAAGGCCAGTGAGAAGTAGGGGCACAGGACAGCCCATCCTTCTGAGAGCAGAACCAGGGCTGTGTCCCACAGAGTGACATCTGGCTGGACAGGATGGACAGGACTTCATTCGTGTTTTTTTACAACTCCCTCTACATGAAGACTTTTTTCCAAGAGTTTTTCCACCTTTCTAAAGCCATCATTAATCCGAGAATTCCTGTCACCAGAAGAAAAAAGAAAAAAAAAAGTTGGAATAAGAAATAAAAAAACAAAAGTATGGATAAATAAGCTACTTCTAAGCTGCTGAGATACTGAGCCCATGCTATTCTGTTCTCCTAAAAGACAGAGATTTCGTTCACCCAAGAAGCCTTTGATTTCCTCCTCTGGTCTTATTTGAATTCACATTTGCATGTACGTGTTGCAGTTCTGGAAATGGCTTTCTTACTGAGAATACGATGACAAGTAAATTCCAACTACAATCTTTATAGCAGAACTCAACTTTGTAAATAATGTTAACAGGGAAACAAAAAGGGCTACAGGAGCACAGAGGGCACTGCCATTGCTCCAGGTGGTCAAAGATGTCCTTCCCAGGGGGTCTGCTGAACTCGAACCTGAAGAGGGAAGGAGTTATCAAGTTGTGGGGAGTGTGGAGGTGGCAGCGGGGGGTGATTGTGGTGAAACTCAAATTGTAGGTAGTGGGAAGAGACTGGCCAAGGTTCAACTGGAGAGAAGATGGCATGTCTGTGGGATCACATGCTGTTCAGCAGGGCTGGGGAATGGGGTGCTGGATGTGGGGCCTGGGGGTGGGCAGGAGCTAGATCAGGAAGGGTCTTATACAACATAATAAGGAAGCTGGGTATTGTTCTGAATGTGAGGTGTTGCAAGTGGGTTGAAGCAAGGCGATTGTACCTTATGCAAATCACTCTGGCCACAAATGGGCCAATAGCAAGAGCTAGACTCCATTCAGAGAGACTAGGCAGGAGGCTGGTGCAGTAATCCGGGCAAAAGCAGATGGCGGCCTAACCCTAACTCTAACCCTAACCCGTATACAACAGATGTCCGGGCAAACAAAGGCTCACTGGGGAGTGTGGATAGAGCCACCGCAGAGGGAAAGGAGAAACCAGGAGGTGATAGTGTCCGTGGAGCCAAAGGAAAACACTTCAGGGAGAGAACAATGGTCCCAGGGCCCAGTGCCACCAAGGAGGGCTAATATGAGGTCAGGATTGAAAAGTGCCCATGCACTGAGCCACAGGAAGGAGTGGTGATCTTGGGAGGGGCAGTTTCAGCAGGGAGGTGGTGGCAGAAGACACT